TTYRTAAAAGGCGTCGGTGAGGGATTGTGGTGGTCTTTCATTTCAATGACAACTGTTGGGTAAGCTGACCATAACGAACATTTGGAATAGGATTTGATACCAGGTTGTACATTTAAATCTTAGCCGCATACACAGTGTCTTATAGGGGAAGATGTAGTTGTTATTATTATAATACCGATCGGTTATGTAACAAAAAGTGATTTGATGTTGTAGAGCATTTCATCATATCGCTAATTTCAGACACATTTGCGTCTCTAGGTATATAACTCTAGTGCATTTCTTTTAAGTATTGATGTTTACCTTAATGCTTTTATAAATTTGAGTTACTCCTTGCAGATATGGAGACCGATCGCCCCGTTCTATCCTTGCCCGTATTTTTGGTATCATATGGATTCTGACTGGACTTGTTGTTATCTCCATTCTGATTGGTGCGATAGCTTCGTCACTGACATTTATTACTGTGGATAAACCTGTCAATCTCTATGGAGCAAAGGTGAGTCTAACCCAACACTGTCAGTGGAGGACTTAAATTTACTTGTTTTCGCCTCTGAGTAAAAAAATATTTCAAGAGAATTAGCGACAGGGTGACATCTACATGTAGAGACATCTAGACGCAGAGTGACATGTAGGTAGAAAGGTAGGAAGAAAGTCAGACCGCCAGGAAGACGGACAGACAGAAAGAGAAAGGAAAACTGAAAGACAGATAGGAACACAATAGAATAAGAAGGCAGACAGACAGAGACGGAGACAGGTTTATAGACATCTAGATTGTCAAGATAATTTTTTTTTTAAACAAAGGCATTGAAGTTGCCAAGGCAGTCTTATTCGCTGGCTTATATATATATATATATATATATATATATTCATATAGAAAGTTTGGTGGAACAACTTTATTCCTTGTTTATTCGTTTATATAGCAAAGCAAGTGCATCAGTACCAATTGAGGAACGCTAGCAATTTTTCAGTGACTAAATGGAGGACCGAAAGACTGCGCCGCAACTTTTTCCCAAGGACTATTTTAGCCTTCAACAAATAATAGTTTCTTTTTATATATATTCGCATACCCACATAGTTAAATGTTAATTCTTAATTATTTAATGAATTATCTTGTATTTCTAAACCCATTGAAGCCCAGTCCCTTATCCACGCATGTAATTTTATATATTTGTTAAAAATAATTGTAACCACATTGTAATTCAGATTTTCTGTGAAAATGTGAAAAATAAACTTATCTACCTACCTACCTACCATAAGTTGCGAGGATGGACAACTTCTGATGTCAAACATATAAAACAATTTTAGTAAAAAACGTTTCGGTCAGAGACCTTCTTCAGTCATTTACAACTTTTGAAATAAAAAAAGAGCATTAAACAGGATAGAAGTGCTAATGATCGCGTAATTACAGATAACGACAAATGAACTGGTGTTAATAAAAGATAACAAAAAACCTAATTACAAAAAAAGCAATGGGCAAAGAGAGAAGAATACTAAATATGTTAAAATGAGTGGCGTAACCAATTGCAAAGAAGTAATGCGGCAAGCATTAAAAAAGGGGAGGCCCACTTTTAACTACAACTGTAAACCCTACCAAAATCCCAAAACAAGGCCTTTGGAGCCCGAAAGGGCAAATTAGCAACAAAATCCCTGGAGGGGCCCTTAAATGATA